AAGGTTTCCAAGAGAATTACTGATTTACAAGTATCAGTGACTGAAGCTACACAGAGGTAGGTGAGATCAGGAGTATTCCTTCTGTTCCTATGTATCAGCATCTTTTTCTCATCTGAAACATACATGCTGACATTATATGCGTTTCTAGTTCACTTTCAGTGGAAAATCCAACAGTAGTTTAAAATGTCAGTGAATATGATTTAAAATAATTTGTTCTGTGTGGTATTCACATTTCTGTTTTCTTTATATCTCTGAAGGTCTCTATCCTTGAGGCAAAACTGGAATGCTACAAAATTCAGGCCTTCTCTAAGACTCTGGACTTAGATTTCTATTAAGCCACTGAGTTGTCAAGACTGATTTTATCAATATGTAAACTGTTCTACTTATTCCAAAACAGAATACAGGTACTTTTATAAAGCACAATTCCTACTTTCAGACAAAGCCATAGCATGACCAGATATATTGCTGTCTAGTGAAGAAAGAATTTACTTAGCTAGTTATAGTGAAAATGTGTGTCAGATCACTTATGGATAGGCCTACTTATTTTCCAGGGAAATGATGGTTCATCTCTTTAATTTTAATGTTTGAAAGAAATTTCAACATAGTTTAAAAGGGATCATGCGTAGAACTAACCCCTGGATACTCTAAAGACATATTAATTCTAATTCTATTTTAATTTCATTATACTGTCATGTAGCTGATTTTTCATATGTATTATATTCTCTGCTCTGATAAAGTTTATGAATTTTAATGTAAATTCTGGTAAAAATGTAGTATAAATAAATAAATACCTTTGAGAGGATGTTTCTTTTCAGCTTTTTCATGTCTTTCAGGTTTGTCTTTTTGAATTACTAGAAATGAGTACAAATGCATATTAGGAAAATAAAATGACAAAGAATGAGAAAATATTTCTAAAACACAATAACATCCCCAGAAATGTCACATTTTTTCATTATTTTATTTTTTGATTGTAAAAAACTTACTACTTCTTCTCAGATTCACACACTGGCATAAAAAGCTTCAAACCATCTGTTGAGACTCACCTAACCAGAAGATAAGGCAGCCACACAGATCTAAAACTTTGCAGGGTATGTTTATACTGCCTGTCCGGATGACACAAACTTACTCTGCTCAAGCTCTGAGCAGACATGGGATTGGTCTTCTCGTGCTCCAGTCAACAGGAAGCCATGTGACTACATTTGTCTTACAGAAAAGGGTTTTGCCTAGCTTGGGCTCACAGTCATACAAACACAGCCACAAGCCTGGTGCTCACTCCAGAGCCCAGCTCGAGTGAGTTCATGTCTGCACAGGATACACTGTGTAAACACACACACTGCTATGTCACAGAAAAGCTGTCAAAATTTTATGTGGAGGCTTCTATCTATCCTCTCTTGGTTGACATCCAGACATATTGCTGGAACAAAACAGCCTCGGGAGTTAATTATGCTTCTTTCAAGTGACAACTACGTAATAGCAACATCCTCTCTGACTGAATTCCAGCCTGTAATTGCTGCCTGTACGAGCCATGATTGATATCTAGACTTGTTTTTGTTATTTTAAGATAGATAGCTGTTTCTTGGATGACGTGTTTAAATAGCATTCATATCACTGAAGCTTTCTGGAGCCTTTAACAGGGGCTGAAGAAGCACCCTAAGTCTTTTTATTGAGGGTAGAGAAAACCTCCTCACCGTGGGGGAAGTAGCCATCTGATTTTCAGTGCGCTTGTTCCCTGAAGTTGGCCTAGACCTAAGCATCTTCACTTCCTAGGGACTGCAAGTGGTTGAAATAGCCCCTCAGCACTGCTGATAGCTGATCCAGTTTAGAGCAGACTCCAGACAAAAGGGAGGTGAGCCTGGTAATGGAGTTCACCCCACTGCTGGCAGAAATGTGCCTTAGGAAGCGCTGAAGGCAATGAGCACCCTGGCGCACTGAGATGATCCATAGGGACTTTGCACGGCAGGGAAACTGTTCAAGAGTGGTAGCATGTCTATAGTAATACTGCAGGACAGTAATACTGCTGTCCCTAGCTACAAAGTGGCCAAATTCTTCATAAAATTTTCCAGCCAGTGACTAGAGTCATGGCTGCTGTTAAACACATTAAAACTCTAAGTGATTATTTGGTTAGCTAGCGGAAGATAAATGGGTAAACAGGCTGCTGGCTGCTCATTAGGAATATCTCAGCGATTCTTGGAAGTTATTTGCTTTTCAAATCTACACAGACACTGTGGGCATTTATTTTCTCTGGATTACTTCAGTGTGATCTCACTTTATAAAAAAAATCCTACACTTTCAAGTTATACACTCGAGTAAAATATGACCAAATATCACTTTTCAAGGGAGACTGGGCAATGGCCACCTTTCAAAGTTTTTTAAAGCTTTAAACCTTCATTCCACTTTTTCTCTTTCTTCACTCCTACTTTATGTTTTACATTTCTCCTTAGAGTAAGGTCAAGTCAAGGGCTGATCTGTACTTTAGAATCTGATTGTCTGACCAGATCCAAATTAAACCTAATTAATTCATGTGTCACATCAGTATCAGAGTCATCTGAACGCCATAACAGACTGATATTAAGATATATTGCATAGGTTTTTTTTCAAGAGTTCATTGAGTAAAAGTAAGATGAGAAAAATATTGAAATCTAATTTCATTATAGAAATATCTGGCTTCAAAAAAACAATGCATGTAAAAAAAAATAAAATGAAAACTTTAAAGCAAAAACAGTCAAATGCCAAGCAAAAAAAAAAGTTAATTATTAAAATATGGCATTACAGGGCATGTTGATTGAATTTTTAAATCTGCATGTCCAAGTCATGGCTAAATATGGAATTATCAATCAAAAAGATACAGAAAATCACCTCTCATGCAAGATATTGCTTCAGAATATATATAATAATTAGTAGATATGTAAATCTTAACCAAAGCCACTCCTGCCATGGAGGAGAGTGCAAATCATGTGCTGAAATGAAAATGTTATTGCAGAAAAATAAAGGCAAGAAAATGAAAATCTATTTTTGGATGTGATGGAAGACCCAGACTGAGAGTTAGTTAGCACTCTCGCAGTAGGTCTGCACCAGATTGAAAACTGATGCACAAGAGAAAGCCTTTGCAGGCAATTTACTGAATCCCACTGTGGAGGACAAGACATCAAGGAATGCAAATACAATAGTCGTATTTAAATGCAGCTTATTTCTTCAGCTGCACAAGAATGATTTATAATTACCTCTGTGCATCAAAACAAGAGAAATAAGCAAGAAATATATGCAATATGAGCAAGACTTCACTCAGGGGCTGATCAAGGCCAGCTCAAGTAAAAGTGAGAGCACCTGGAAAATCAAAAATGTATACCACAGACTGCAAGAGCGTTATACTTTAAATGCTCATCTCCCCACTCTCCCAAACTATATAAACACTAAAAATCTAAAACTGTACATCTAATATTAATCCACAGTACTTTTAGATGGTGCTTTCTTTTCATGTTTTTCTGGCTTTTCAGGTTTCTCTTTGTGAATAGCTAGAAATAAATAACAACATTAATGGCTATTAGAAAAGATAAATATTGCATTTTAAGTGAGCAAAAGGAAAAAAAAGGTCAAGAAACACAACTAGGCACCATGGCTATCCATGTAAAGATGCAGAAAGATTGATTCAGCTGATGATGATGCTGAAACACATGATTTGAACTTTCAAAAACTCATCTGCCATCCCTGAGGCCTAGGAGAAATGGCCTTTCTGGCACAACGGTAATCCCATGAAAGAAGTTAGGTGTCAAGAGTCATACTTATTTATGTTGTTTACTGGTTCATTTTGTTTTGTTTATACTGTTGTTTATTGGTTTATTTTAGTTTATTGCTATGTTTGAGCTTTCTTGTTTGTTACTGTGGTCCATTTCTGAAGGGTTTGCTGAACTCCACATAACAACAAGCAATTTTCCAGTTATGAATGATTAAACACTGTAATTAATTACAATTCTAATTGCAATGGCATTATAACTAATGCTTGTTGGGTCTTTTTGTTTGCTTTTAATTTCCACTCTACAAATTGAAACAAAGTACACTGTAGTGACTAGATTTCTGGCTGAGGTTTCAGAATACACCTGAGTTGGGCAATAGTCACAGAGTGGTGGGTAGTCTGTCATATTCTCCTGTGTGGGTTCTCATTTGCTAATTTTTTATTATTTGTGTTTACACAGTAACTTGTCCACAGGTGTGCAGGACTGATATTTGTATGTGTTTATATCCCCTGAGGCACCCTAGAGGGACCATGCATGTGAAAACACTTGACTGTCTATTTGACTTCGGCATATGAGTTTATACTAAGAGCACAAAAATGTATGCTTGAGCATTGTTATGTACTCTCCAGCTTTGTGTTGATGTTTCAAGAGAAATTAATAATTGTGGAAAGTAAAGCAGTGCTAAATACCTATTTATTGCAAGTAACGACTTAAAGAATTAGTTCTGCCCTATTCAATGGCTATGCAACAGCCCTACAATGTACTGTCTTTAAGATGCTTTTTTTTTCCCATGGCCTGCCTCATTACCTTTGTTTACATTTTATCTTTTCAGGTTGTCAGGAGTTTTCCCTGGATGGCCATATTCCCTTAGCAACCATACTTTCTGTGAGTGTTGAAAATACTCAAGAGTTTACTGGGAGGTTATAGTAATCCACAGTATAAAGTATATTATCTCCCTTCCCCAGAAATGAATCGAACATGCAGAAGGAATGCAAAAGGCTGCTCAGTCTGTGTGTCTGAAAAACTTTATATTAACTCATGATTTTACTTATAAAGATTTTTTTCCAATCAAGGGGATACATAAATGTAAATTGAGTAGGCAATTAGTTTGGGGTATCTCAAAAAGTAAAATAAATGCTGATATTAAATCATTACCTGCGTGCCTTTCTTTTTTTTCAGGTTTTTCTTGTCTTTCCAGTTTGTCTTTATGTGTCACTAAGAAAGAAGAGATGTGTTCATATATATTAAAAAATATTGTGCAAGAGATTTAAGAATAAAAAAAAGTCTACCAAGGTAAACTTTAGGAGACAAAATGGCAAACTGTGTTATTCCTGAGCTATCCCGTGCATCTTTACCCAGTGTACACCATACTGCATGAGGGTGAGCAGACAACCGGCCAAAAATCTACTGCTTACCATCCAGGCCACGGTAACATGCCTCAGCTATTTACTGAAGTCACATCATTGCTGCAATTTTCTATCTGTTCCTGAAGACAGTTTTTCAGTGAACTGTCAAGGACTAAGGCAGAACTCACAGTAAAAGCTGCTACCTGCACTAGAAACTGGACATCACCTCAGCCACCCCATACTCTGTCAGGCAGAGACTCTGGAAAACCTGAGGAATAAACCTTTCCATAAAAACCCTGGAATCAATCCTGGAGCATAAGAGCATCACATGCAAAAATGACACGTCTGTCACTTGCCAGCTGGCTTGAAATGGATAAGCAGTAGTGGATATGGATAGCTGGTAATGGATACAGATAGCTGGTAATGGACACTCGCTGAGGTCAGGCCCTGTCAAATTATCTCAGAGCTGTAATTAGATGCCCAGTATGTGCAAAGTAAAAACCAACATTATGACAGTGGAACTGTATTATGCTATCCACTCATGCACATAACATTTTCCACTCACCCTTCTTAGGATTTCACACAATACTTTTCCAGACAATGGGAAATAAACATGCAGATTTTAAAGCCCTTCAGAAAAATCAGCTGTGAAACTGCAAGCTAGCTTTAACTCTAACCCCCATGGAGATGTTATGCCAGTTTAGCAAACTCCTTTGTCAAACATAAGAAAATAAGGAAGTTATTTTATTGTACTGTGAATCCCATATCTAACTGAAAGCAAAATAAGAAGGGTAGGGAATATTCAGGCTCTCACATTTTTTAGCAATACAGTGATGAAATACATGAGAATGAGTTCCTGACATAGCTGAATGAGTCACTTCTAAGTGATTGAGACACTTCTAAATATTCTCTGTGTTATTAGATAACTTTCCTAACTGTATCACAAAAGTTGAATTAGGAATTAGAATAGGAACTTATTTACTATCTCCATTGTCTAAACCTTGAAAAGTGAATAAATTTAAAGTAAAAAATAATCAGTTCAAATACATGGATTCATTGAAACTTCGGAGTCTCCTGGTCATGATACAATGAAATGGGCCTTAGAAAGATGCATATCCACAGTTATAGTTTTAAAATACAATGTACAGTCTGAAAGCAATGTTTCTTAGTACTGTGAATACAGAGAATCTGTACATGCAGTAGTGTTTTAGTAGTAATTGTAGCAATAGTTCACTAAACAAAACTATAATACATTCACTTTAAGATAAAATATGGTTAGGTAGGCAGAATATTAGTAGTAGCTATGACAATTTAAGGCAGTATAATAATTCTTATTCTTCACTGGCTTTCTAAGATTGACTGGGATAATGTTTTCCTCTTCTAAGAATCTTTAAAAAACATCAAGTACTGTTCTAGTAAATCAAAGTGAAGAGTTTTCTAAGTTTTCCACATAATAACTGGAGATGTCTTAATGGCGCATTTATATTTTAATATTGGACATTATAGTCTTTGCTCTGTAATTTTTCCAAATCTCAGAAAAAAATTTCTCTTGTTACCGTCATTCCATTTTCTAGTAATAAATATTCATTCTCTCAGAAACCTGAACTTATGTGCCTGTCATTAACCTCTAAAGTCAGTCTTGCTAACTAAATTTATTTTGAATCATTTATATAAAATGGAAAAGCTCCGATCAGAAACCTCCAATCAGAGACCATTAGAAAGGTGTAGTCAAGCACAGATTGCAGGAAGGTGCACATTCTCTTGGGTTGTGAGACTCGTGTTCTTGGCCTGAAATAAATCGGCCATGGCTGGATATTGGGTCTTTCTTTTTTGGGGTAATTTATTATGACCATTGATCTATTTACTCTTCCAGAATGGGTTTCTTTCTGCAGCCTGAGACTTCATTAATCACATTTTTATGTAAAGGACATGTTCTCACAAGGCTTAAAGTGTTTGGACAAGTAGGTATGATCCAACAAAAATTCCATTTTGCCAAAAAATCCCTCACAAGACACCAACTAGATGGTGACTCTTGGAGCCCAGAGCTAACTCATGAGTTGTGGGTAGAGATTCTGACTCCTATAACAGGCGAATCTGTAAATTGTTGTTGACATACACCAACAGCAAATTAGTAAATCCTCTCTAACTCCCTGTCCCCAACGCCTCTGAAATAAGTCTGGGGAATTTTTTTTTTTCTGAGGTCTCCGAAGCAGAATGCCTCCAAGGACCATGCCCTACATATTACATAGAGAGCAGTGTAGGGGAAAGGGACCTGG